ATTAATAGAATTTACCCTATACTAACTTATAATTAATATAGCACCATTTATAGCCACTATTTATAGTGCTATATAATTAATAAGTCATTATAATTAACTATTATGGCCACTATGGCCACTGGAACCCACTGGAATCCAGTGGAACGTTTCACTAGATTAAGCCCCACTAAGTGTGGCTAATGCACCTAGCCATAATAATCCCAGGGTTATAAGGTAACCTATATTATAAAAATCCATAGATTTCGATAGTTTCTTCGATTATAAATCAACCTTATTACTAATTAACTTAATTATAAATCTAATTTATTAGTAATATATTCTAAAATATTTTTATTAGTTAATTTTATAGGTATAAAAAATAGTTATTCCTCCGTAATTAATTATTCTTTCCTTAAGCTTTAATAAATCAGTTATATAGCCCTATAACTACTATTACGGCCTGATTCTACGAATCATACAAACGCTTCCCTGTGCCTAAATTTATAATCCACTAATCATACCTTAGAACAATTTTTAATATACATTTTAATATATAAAATTATTTAAACCGGTTTAATAAATAGCTATATAATAGTTATATTTTACGTTTATTTTTATAATTATATTAAATTTATATATAATATATAATAAATAAAAATTAAGCTTATAATAAAATTTTATTTATTTTACAAATATTATAATTATTATATAATAATTAAAATATATAAAATTCCCGCCTAAAAAATTTATTTTCGGAATAGGTAATTTTTATATTAATAGCCAGCTTAATTGCGCACGGTTTATAACGGAGTAATTTATTTAAATTATAAATTTAATAAGAAAATTATTAACGGATAATTTTATTAAGCGTATTTATAATTAATACCGTAATAGCTTTATTTCCTAATAATTATTTATTTTCCGAATCCGAATACGCATTAAAGCAAAAGTTATACGATATTATTAATATATAAATAGCTTTAAAAGGCTACGCGTTTACGGTCGATCGGTCGATAAAAAAAACGGGTAAATTTATTATTATATATGCGTATAATCGTCGTATAAAACCTTTAAATCTATCGACCGAGCGGTAACGCAAAATAATTTCACGAGGAATTAGCTGTTTTTTTTTTATAATAGCTAAAAAATCGCCTAATTATATAACTTAATTGCTTAAATATCGTTTTAATATCCGATTTATTTTTTATAATTATAAGCTAAGCCTAAGCCTAATTATTTATTTAATTTTTCGAAAATTATCCGCGGAAAAAGAAAAAGCTATTATTAATTTTGCTAATACGGGTATTTTTTTAAAAAAAATTAAAATTTATATACGCTAAATATATAATATAATAGCTATTTAATAAAATATATATAATATTATTGCTAAAGCAAAAAAGGTAATTTATAACGGTTAAAATATAATATAAGCGTTTATTAATTAATTAAATATAAAAAGATTTTAGAATCGAATTTAATTTAATAAAAATAGCCGTATTATAATTATTTTTTTTATTTATTTAAATTTTTTATTATACCTTTAGGCTTATTTAAACGTTTTAATATTTAATTATATTTATAAAACTAATAAATATAAGATATTATTATTTAATATAATTAAAGTTAATATTTATTAAAAGTCTTTTTATATCGGGTTCGTATTTATAAATGGCAAAACCGAAAAAGATTATTTTTAAGCTATCGACCGATTAAAGTTTATATATAAAATATACGGTGCCTATTTTCCTTCGATTATTTTTATAAACCGTTATATAATATATATTAATGCTATTATTATTTATTTTTTATTTTTATATTTTTTTTGTATTTATAATATATAAATAAAGCAGTCCTCCGATATTATTAACTTTTAATTATACGCTAAACCGGAGGGATAAAAGCTTAGAATAAATTTTATTAATTATAATATATAATTATTTAATTATTAACACAAAAATTATTCGATTAACGCTTATCCGATTTTAAACGCAAATATTTTCCTTAATATTTTAATAAGGTTACATATTTTAAAAATATTTAGTTAAATAACTAAAAAAAAAAGCTTATTAAGGCTTAAGTTAATTAATATATTTATTTTGGCAATATAGTTATTTTACGAATAAAAGGCATTTATATATTAATTAAATTATATTTAAAAAAATTTACCTTAAATTTATTCGAGGCTTAAAAAGCTATTAAATATATATTATTTAATTAATTTATTAAATTACGGTATATATAAATACGGTAATAAATACGGCTATTTATCGATTTTTTTTAACCCGTTATATAATATTATTTATAGCTAGGTATTATATAAAGCCTTCCGGAAAATTAATAAGCAATAAAAATTTTTATTAAAAAAAAAACCGTTTTTTACTATTACGTTATACGGGTATATTTATACGTAATTAAGGCTTTTTATATGCTTATATTTTTCGGGATTTATTAGAAAATAATTAAATATTATAATTATAATATTTTTATTTTTATTAGCATTTATAATATAATAAGTAACCCTAAATATTTTTTAAACCCCGATAACGTATCGATCCGATAATTATAAAATTATCTATTTTATAATTAAATATCCGACGAAAGCCGAATAGTTTTAAAATAATTAAAGCAATAGCATAACCCCGGGTACGTATTATTTCGAAATATAATCGTTATTATTAAATCGGCTATATTATATTATCGAAAATATACCCTTAACGCTATATAAACCTACTTTTTACGGCCGGTATCGTTATAAACCCTTTAATAAATCTTTTAATAAATTTTTTAGCAGATTTTTTAATAAACCCTTTAATAGACTTTTTAGCAAATCTTCTAATAAATCCTCTAATAAATCCTTTAATAGATTTTTTAGCAGATTTTTAGCAGACCCTTTAGCAGACTTTTTAATAAACCTTTTAGCTAATTATTTATTAAATCCCCCGGTTAATCCTTTAGCTTTAGTATATAATAATTTATATCGTATATATAAACGGTATATTAGCGTAAAAAAAATTTAATATAAAATATAACCGCGAAAAAATATTAAAACGAATTAATAATATCGGAAAATAATAAAATTATTAGCGCGGTATAATAAAGCAAAATTTAATTAGTGCTTTAAATTTATTCGTATAAAAAAACGCTATATAAATATAATAAAATTAAAAAATTAAATAAAAAAATAATAATAGCCTATTTTAATTAAAATTAAGCTAAAAATAAACGTATTAATGCTAAATTTAATTCAAATTTATTAAACCTTTTTAAAAAAGGATAAGTAAAATTTAAAAAAATAAAAAATAATAAGCGGAAATAGCGGTTTTTATATAATTAATTTATAAATTCTTTATATTATAAATATAAATTTCGGTTTATTATAATAATTATATAATAATTATTTAATTATTATTTAATAATTATTTAATAATTATATAATAGTTATAATACGAAAAATAGTTATTATAATATAAAAATAGTTTAAATTACTTTTATTTTTTTAATGCTAATACAAGCCGCGCGCAGGGCATGCTTATATAAAATCGACGGGTCCGTCGATATTAATTGGA